TGTTTATTGTGAGCCGCCCAGAGTCCTTCGGGAGTGGGCGGCATACAAGACAAGTAAACTAAACTAACTAAACTAAACTAATAATATACCCTTGATAGTCCCTTAAATTCAGGTTGCAACGTTGCAAACGCAGCATGGACAGCTTTGGCAAAAGGCGCTTAATGGTGTTCCAGGACAAAATAGAGGTTGCAGAGACTGTGTCCACTTCCATCCCACAGGGCACCCCCTCTATTTGGACCATCAGGTTGATTTTCTTCATCAGGGAATTGCAAGTCTGGAACGCTCGCACTTCAGGCTGGGTTGGGTTGCAAAAAATGGCATGACAGTCATCGTTTACTTTGGCATCTTTCACTGAGGTTTTTTTGCAGCTGGGCAGCTTGATGTATGGAGCATTGAGAGGTTGAGAGGAGCAGCAAACTTTGGCTAAGTGCCCTTTTCGCCCACAGCTCTGGCAAATAGCCTGCCTGAATTTACATTCAGCTCTGGAATGGTTGTCACCACAACCCAGGCAGGCCAATTTACTAGCGCTCCGGCCGCCAGGCCAGTTCTTTTTCTTCCTCGCCTTATTAAGGCAGTTAACATCTTCCTCAGGCTCCGAATCTGTAGTCATGTCAACTTGATGGACAGTTGCTGTGGGTAGCGCAGTAGCTCTTGTTTCAGACCCCCACGACAAAGCCTGGATCGCAGCAAGAGATTGATTAGATAGTTCAAAAGTGACATCAGTTTTGGCTAACAGCCTGCGCTGTAATTTTAAATCATGCAACCCGCATATCAAGCGATCCAGTAGGATGTCTTCTAGTTCTTTGAAATCCCAATGTAGTACTGCCACTCTTAACGCCGTGACATATTGGTTCACAGACTCTCCTTCAGCTTGGTCCCTGCGGTGAAACGTGTGTCGGTGGGCAATTTTGGATGGCGCCAGTGCATAGTGACATCATAGCAGTGTTCTGATATCTCAGGGGTTGCCACAAAGGAGACGGAGTCACGCTGTTCTCCAAAGCACCTGAGGGCAGGACAAGAAGCAATGGATGGAAATTAATCAAGGAGAGAAGCAACCTAGAACCAAGAAGAAATTTCCTGACAGTTAGAACAAATAATCAGTGGGACAACTTGCCTCCAGAAGTTGTGAAGTTCTCCTACACAGGAAATTTTTAAAAAGAGATTGGACAACCATTTGTCTGAAATGGTATAGGGGCGCACGGTTTCCCACCTGAGCAGTGGGTTGGACTAGAAGACCTCTTAGGTCATTTCCAACTGT